CTACACTCCAAAAGCCTGAACCCCACCTGAACCTAAAACCCTAACGCTCAGACCCCTAAACCACCCAAGGCCGGAACCAAAGGCAACCCTAAATCCCGAACGCCCCCCTCCCCTAAGCCAAAAGCCCAAAAGCCTATACAACCCGTAAACTCTCCTACCCGCCCCCCTAAAACTCCCGAAGCCCTACACAATCCGAAAACCCTCTCACCCACACCCCTAAAAACTCCGAAGCACTGAACCCTTCGTCCTTAACCCTGAACCCTAAACCTCACATTGTAAACCCTAAAGTCTATACACACATATATATATGTATATGTTAGCCCTTAAAGACCGAACCCTAAACCCTAAAACCCGAAGCCAATCGAAGGCTTCTGCAACTTGCCGCGATTCCGTCAGCGACTACTGCACCAGGGAGCCAACCTCGAGGATGCCTCCACAAAGACTTCAGGGTTTTGAGGCTAAGGGTTTAGGGATTTCGGGATCGGGTTAAGGGTCTAGGGCTTCGGGTTAAGGGTTTCGGGTTAAGGGTTTTAGGGTTGATGGTTTAGGTTTCGGGATTGGGTTAAGGGTCTAGGGCTTAGGGTTAAGGGTTTGGGGTGAAGGGTTTTAGGGTTCATCGTTTAGGGTTAAGGGCTTAGGGATCAGGGGCTAGGATTCAGGGCTCAAGGTGTATATAGAGTTTATCGTTCAAGGTTTAAGGTTTAGGGGGGACACATGGTAGTTTCCCAAAATAGGGGACCCAAGTACATAGACCCCAATATATATATATATATAATGCTTATCATAGGGACCCCTCAAAAAATACCCTTAGACCCATGCTTCGGGGTGCGCACCTCGGTGCTTTCAGCATCATGCCTTAGCAACATCGTGCAAGGGTCGTTTGGCACAGCACGTGCAGCCAGGCATACACACACAGACACACACACACACACACACACAGACACACACACACACACACCAGATACCAGGTCAAAGCCTGTTGTGAGGAGGTCTTTGTTCTGTGGTCTCTTGTACCTGTTG